GACCTAAAGGGGTCAAATTGTAGTAAGCGCTTTGTTCTACTATTTCCAGTCATGTCCCACATCATCCCCTTTCCTCATCTTTTGTTTTCTCAGCTCTGACCCTACCCTCCCTGACCTCCAAAACAGGTTACGGAGCTTTAGACAGACAGGGATTCCTGCACAAAGACCCCGAGTTCATACAGTGCCCGGCTGTGGCCAGGTGGCAATGGCAGAAATCTGTGCATGGACGCTGCTCCTTCACCGAGAGCATATGCCCCCAGCTGTTTCATGGTGACCTGAGCTCTGTGGCCCTCGGGTAAAATACTTGAAAACTCCAGTCAGGTTTCTCCTTGCACTTCTGACAACCCGCCCTGCCTGGTTGGTGATCTGGGACTAGGTGGATACCCCACCTCTGCAGGGGCTATATTCAAGAGGGGGTTCTTTTCTCTTGCTCCATGGCCTGGCCCCCGTTCCTCATCTGAGGTTTCCTAAAGCACATTCTCATCATCACCAGATATGAGTGATCAAGGGCAATCTCATCCACAGGGCTTAGATTTGGAGATGCTTTAAATGTATCCAAGTCTAGGACACAGAGAGGACAAATCTCTTGTAGCTTCTCATACCTTCCTGGGCTTCTACGGTCCTGAAACAAGAAATGTCCTTGCAGAGGACACTTTGTCTGAATCTCAAGGCTCTTCAAATGCCCCCGTCTCCAGCTCCTGCCATCACCCACAGCAAGCCCCCTGCATCCAGCACCCTCAGCACAGGACTGCAGTGTGGTCCTCCAGTGTGACTCATTTCCCTCTTATACCACCTTGGCCACAGCTGCCCAAGCTTTCCCCGCTTTCTGTGTTAACTCAATCTTGTTACCACCGACATCACCGATTTAGGCTTTTTACTAGGAAGAGGTAGTGTCTCCTCACCCACAGCTCTGTGGTTACAGGGTAAGAATGGGCGCAGCAGTGAGGGCGGGTCTCCCTGTAGTCCCAGTGCTGCTTAGAATCCCCGCTCCTCCCTCCTCAACTTAAAGCATCTCCTCTGAGGTTCATGCCAATCTCCAACCCCGTGTCATCTATTCAACAGTCATCAGGACCCTTAGGAATTTCTGGTACCTGCAGCTCGGGGTGTTCTCTCTTGTTTTGGTCACAGTAAAGAACATACTGAAAATCAATCAGCCCTCTGCTACTAATGCCGGTGTCTTAATTCCTTGGAAGCCAAGCTTCATGAATGTGTAGAATGTCTGATGGCCTGGAGACTGGCGCCAGGCAAAGTGCTCGACCACTGTCCGGCTTGCTCAGCCTTGCCTCCCACCCTGAAGGGCCTGCCTAGAGCTTGTCCATGAACTCCCATCTTGCTCTTATAGATTCACATTCCAGAGGCTCCATGCATAGCCCCGCAGGGCCAAACCCTAAGGGACAAATTCCAGCTACAATAGGCAGATATAAAAGACACAAGCCCCTACAATGAGCAGGGCTTCTAGGACTCAACCCCCGGAGTCTGTGAACCCGCCCGGAGTGTACCCAATAAACCTGAACCTGTTTTTATCTAATTTGTTGGCCTCTCTGGTTCGTTTTCCCTTCGCTAAATTTCTAACATAGATTACAGTAGCAGTCCCTTTTGGTTACCTCTCTGTTCCTCCTCAGTGACAGTTCAGGACAGAGGAGTGATGATAAGTGCAGGAGCAAAGTCCCCGAGCAGGTGGGGACCCATGGGACCCTGAGCACAGGCGGGGCTGGCTGCAGTCAGGAGCAGATACGCCCAGGAGCAGCAGAGATGTCAGGGCAAAACCAGGTGGATTGGGTTTGGGGAGCTCTGAGAAGTCACCCCTCATTGCTCCTGTCTTCCCACTGGAATGGAAGAGGGTTGCTAGTGAGTAAGGCAGTGGTGTAGGTAGGATGAGGGTGACAGTGAGGAGCAATGCTCTCCTGTCGTGAATTTAAGACCATTCAGTAGGTTAAAATTTTTTGTTATCAATGCTCAGGTCCTCACATACAGGCTGGGTTGAGTCCCTTATTGGGGCAGAACAGGAGAGGGGAGAAAGCAGTAAGAAAGGGGTAGTCTAGCCCTGGCCAGTGTGGCTCAGCATTTAGAGCGTCAATCCTGTGGACTGAAGGGTCTTGGGTTCAGTTCTGGTCAAGGGCACATACGTGGGTTGCAGGTAGATCACGGGCCAGGTTTGGACATTTTGGAGGCACCTTGTGGATGTCTCTCTCTTTCTCTTTCTCTGTGTGTTTCTCTCCACTCCATCCCCTCCACTCTCTCTAAATATCAGGGGAAGATATCCTGGGATGAGGATTTGCAAGCACAAAAAAATTACAAACCAACAAGTAAAATAACCTAAGGGTTAATTTATAGTCCTTGATAGACTGGATAAGGCAGGGACTGCGGGAAGATGAGGAAGGCTGTGGGGTCCACATTGGAGACCCCAAAATTTGAAGGTTGTTTAAGCAGAGAGACTAGAAGGAGGGAGCTGGTTGACTTTTGTACAGTGTTGAGGTGCTGACAGAGGGGAATGTACAAGTGGACACCACGGAGGGTCAGGTGGTTTCCTTTGGTTCAAGGCAGGATGGTGAGGTAGGTGATGCTCAGGTGATCAGGAGAGAACAACACTGAGGTCAGAGAGACTCCAGGGTTGACCTTCTGAGGCTCATGGGTATTGATATTACCAGGAGGTTTCACAAGAATGAAGGCTGAGAGGAGGTAGGTGATTGTGTCAAGGCACCATCGTGTTCATAGGCTAGGGTCACCAGGGAATTGGTACACACCCCATAAGTGGGGCGACTATGGCAGTGGGGCCAAAGGACCTGGACATCATATCCCTGACTTCAGCTGACAGTGTGCAACAAGGTCTCAGGGGGACCATCTAGCTGCGTGGAGCTGGGCACTAGCACCGCCCTCACTTTTGGCCCTAGTGCAGGTCTAGAGGCCTGCAAAGGAAATGCATCTCTGAGTCCTTTCTGGTGACTTCTGAGACCTGAGCCTTCGGCCACTGCTGCTCTGGTATGGAAGCGGGACTGAGGAAGAGGTGGTGCCTGAGTTGTTTTGCTAGGGGTCTCTTGGGCTCATCCTTGCTGTTTTTTAAAAAATATTTTTTCTTTATTATTATTATTTCTTTCTATTTATCATTCGATAGTGTGGGAGTTAGGGAGAGAGAGACCGAGAAAAACATCGATGTGATAGAGCCACCCTGACTGGCTGTGTCATGCAGGCAGGTCCGACTAGGGCCTGGGACAGAGCGAAACCCAGGTAAGACACCCGGGTAAGTGCCCTTGATGAAAATCGAACCCGTGACTCATTGGTCCAGGGGCCCAGGTTCTAAGCACTGAGCCAAACCATCCATCACCCTTGCTTTTTTTTGAGCACCACCGCCATTCGTTATGGTGTCCTAAGAAATAGTCTGTCGTGTTTTTTGGAAATTCATTAGAAAAGTAGAATTTTCGCCCTGGCCGGTTTGGCACAGTGGTTAGAGCATGGGCCTGCGCCTGCGGTCCAAAGAGACCAGGGTTCGGTTCCCACTAAGGGCACATACCTAGGTTTCAGTTTGTTCTGGGCCCTGGTTGGGTCATGCACGTGGCAGCCACTAGATGTGTCACTTTCATATCGATATTTCTCTTTCTCTCTCTCCCTCTCTCTCCTTCCCACTCTATCTGAACAAATAATAGAAAGAATATCATCTGGTGAGGATTAACGAAAAAAAAAAGAAAAGTAGAATTTTCTGTAAAGGATAATGGGTCTGAGTTTCTCTGATCAGCAGGGGGCAGTGTGGATCCACAAAATATTTTCTTCCCCTCCTTTCCTGTTTGAAAAAAACCCATTTGGGGAAGAATTGGCCCATTGTTTCTGCAAGGGAGCTGCTGGCTTCTTCCTGGGGTAAACTGTTCCACTGCAGAGCTTACAGAAAACTGGGTGCCTTGTGTACTTAGCAACATGTATTTCTGGTTCTCACAATGGGCTTCCCATTGGCTTTAATCAGTAGATTTTTCAGTTACCTGAGCCGCTCAGGCCTCCATGTAGGAAAGCTGAAGGACTGATAAATTATAGTAAGGTAACCTAAACCAGTTTTATCATGCACCAAAGACCAGTCATAATTTGTGATACATTTCTTTAGAGGTCTTCCCATCCATAAAAGTGCATTGCACACAGAATGAGGTTCATATTGCATTGTGACTTCAACCTCTTTTATTTTATTTATTTATTTATTTTCTTTATCCTCACCCGAAGACATTTTTCCTGTTTTTGTTCAGCTAGAGTGGGAGGGAAACAGAGAGAGAGAGACCTCAATATGAAAGGGACACATGGAGAGGCTGCCTCCCGAGGACCCAACCAGGGCCAGGGACAAACCGCAACTGAGGTACATGCCCTTAGTGGGAACAGAACCTGGGTCTCTCTGGACCACAGGCTGATGCTCTAACCACTGGGAAACCGGCCAGGGCAACATCTTTTATTAAACTCAGGTTTTTAGCATGAGTTATCTGTTCTAAAAATCATTTGTAAGGACTTGACGAATTTTTACTCATTTCTGTTCTTATTTGTCTATTTAATCTTAAACAGTGAAAATTTGATATTTGATGACTCATAGAGAAACCAGAAGTAATGTGTGACTCTTATCTCAACGAGAAATACAATACTGTAACTTTGCTAAGGACAGGAGCTGGAATTTTTTGTTTGTTTTTGCTTAACACTGTATTTTCAGCATAGGAAATCCACTTGTCTTGTCTGTCCTCCAGCATCCTGACTTGGCTGCCCCCATGGGGAGGGCCAGCTGCTTCCTTGCTCCTGTCCAGCGGGCCTGGGAATTCACAAAACCTGCTGAGATTATTCATATATTTGCTTCATTATTTTTCCCTCAGGGTATACAGGAAATTCTTCTGATTGTAGTCATTTGGGAAGACAGAAACCCCAAAGGAAAACAAGAGTAATCACCCATGGCCCAGACACTTTCAACATGATTTGCAGACCACCTTCATTTTTACATCCTTGTGATAGTTCTGTATACAATATAGAATTGGGAAGTTTTTAGACTTGACATTAGGTAATTCATACATTTTTTTCAAATTCAACCTAGTCTGTACTGAACCAAATGTATTTTCTGCTACTCCCACATGATTTTTGAAATATAAAAAGTAATGCCCCAGCTGGTTTGGCTCAGTGGTTGGAGTGTCAGCCTGTGGACCAGAGAGTCCCAGGTTCAGTTCCCCCTAGGAGCATGTACAAAAAAAAAAAAAAAAAAAAAAAAAGCTCTGTGTTTAATGCCCTGGCCGGCTTGGCTCAGCGGTTAGAGCATCGGCCTGCGGTCCTGAGAGACCCGGGTTCGGTTCCCGCTAAGGGCACGTACCTCGGTTGCAGTTTGTCCCCGGCCCTGGTTGGGTTGTGCGGGTGGCAGCCACTTGATGTGTCCCTTTCAGGTCGATGTTTCTCTCTTTCTCTGTTCCTCTCTCTCCCTCCCACTCTACCTGAACAAAAAATGGAAAAATGTCCTCGGGTGAGGATAAAAAAAAAAAAGTAATGGCATGACAAACTTTTTGAAGAAATCTATGCTCAGATTTTAGGCAATTTGCCTTGCACAGAATTTTACAAGTTCACCTACCTGGCCACATTCCTTTAACCAGGAACAAAGCCAGGGCCTGCTCTGTTGTATCCTGTGAATACTGAGGATTCACTCTGATAATTTGCTATGTTCAGAAGTGAAATATATGTTTTATTGTTTAAAAATAATTCTTAGTATTTGTGAGATTCAATATCCTTTCATATATTTAATACCTATATATTCATTGTGTATTTTCCTTATGTAAAATAATTGATGAGAACTCCTATTAAGAGATTTAATAAATGTTTAAATTAAACATTTAAATTAGTTTAAATTAGTAGTTAAGAAAATAAGAAAAAAGAAATAACAACTAGAAAAACAAAAAAAAGAGGGGGGGAATGATGCTAGACAGAAGTAAAATTCATTCACCAAATACATAACTAATGTGCCTTTTTTGTTTTCACTCTGACAGGAATGCTCCTCACCTGAGCCACCCACTCACATCTACTCAGGCCTGCAGCTGTGTCCTGTTCAGACAGACCATCCCAGCTCTGATCACAGACAGAAGACCAGAGAACAGACTGCTCCTTCAGCTCCCTGCACAGACCTTCTTGACTCAATTTCCGAAGTTTGTACATCCCTGGGCTTTCCTGTCTGAAAAGAATCAGCTAATAATGAAAGGACTTTATCTTGGCCAGAAGGTTCACCTTGTCTAAGAGGATATAGTGAAAAATACTTACAGCAGACCCTAGTTTTCCTTGCTTTAAGCCCTATCTTATACATTTTTTCCTACTTGTTTTCCATTGTGTACCTTCTTGGTTAATTCCTATTATCCTCAAAATGTAAAAATCAACAAGGCCTACAGAAACAGCTTTGAAAGAACTCCTCTGACGGCTGCTGGAATGCGACTGATTCAAGGACCCAAGAGGCATGAAGCTGAATCAATTCCCAGGCAATCCAACGACACACTGTGACAGCTAAAGGAAACGGAACCCTGAGGAATACCACAGTCATGGCCCTGTCTTCTCCGTTCCCTGTACAACATCAAGTTGGCTATAGCTCAGAGTTATCTGGTCTTAAGGAGAGAAACATCAGCTGAATGAAGCCAGTAACCTCTATCTGAGTCGCTGTTACTAGATTTTTCTCATGTTCCACCACTATTTTCACCCAAATTTTCCAGCATGCAAAGAAAGGGTTCTACAGGTCCATTTGCACGAATTACAGTCACTACTGGTGGATACAAACATTTCAAGACAAGCACCAGTGTTCCTGACAATGAGATTCCAGGGAAACTTCTCCCCAGAAACATCATAGGGTTCA